AATCGCATCCCGAACATGCTTGCATTGTTGCTTAGAGTGGTCAGAAGACTCTGCATTTTGTCAGCATCTTCGCCAAATAAAACTATGTCATCAGCATATTCTAAGTCAACAAGTAAACCTCCCGGTAGAAGTTCAACCCCTTTAAATTTAGATGAGAGCGTTATCTCTAAAAGTACGTCAATGACAAAGTTGATATTATAAACTAATGTCATGTTCTCATTTTGTTGTCTTTCAGTTTCTACTTATCTGATCCCATATAAGTCAGCATTACCCGTCTAGATAAGTAGAATCGTATATAACAGCTAATTCTAAGGCATGCATAGCAACACTTAACAGTTTTTAAATTTATCCGCCAATAAAAAGTCATTGACAGTGTTATACAACTAGTTCATATAGAGTCGAATAAAATTTTGTTAGTGCATAAGAATAGCGAAATTTTCAATCTTAATTCTATCATAAATAATAAGACACAATAATCAGCACAAAAATAAGTCATAAAACATGGTCAGTTTATGAAAAGTCTGTTTATATGATTAAATAAATTTTAAAACCACAATATTAATAAAAATGATTTAAATCCACAATGAATAGTAAATTTTAGTATTTGAAAGGTACTGTATACATATAATTAAACTCATAATACTCCCTAACTTTGAATGAGATATGTATATAAATCATTAGAAACACTAGGAAAATATTTTCAAATTCAAGTAATCAGTATGAAGTTTCTAGTCTAGATATCGAGTTTGTTCCTGACCGTAGCTGCTACCTTGACGCGGTGGTCGGGCTTGCCTATCGTGATGACCCAACCGAGCTATATTGGCCGAAACATATGTTCCTGTAGGTTCTACCATGCCAGGCAGATCGATTGGAGAACGGTAATACTAAAAGCAACAACTCAAGGTCTGAGGGCGAAGTCGTACTGCTGACTGTAGAGGGGTGTGACAGCAGTAAGGTGTTTTCCTCGGACAACCAGCCTGACAGCGATGCTGCCTTCCCATAAGGAAGGAAGGGGTTAGAAAAGGTTGACCCTAAAAATATCACACCTCAACTTACCTCACGCATTTCCGTCTCCGGCGGTAAGGCCCTTTGAAGAACGGAGCTAACACATCAAAAACCTCCCACGAAAAGACCTTGCGCGACCGGCCCCAAGCAGTTGTCCCTTGGGCTCTGCGGTCACGCTCCCAGGTCGTTAAGACCAACACTAATTCAACTTCCTTTTCAGGTTCCTCAAGAAATACCCTTCCACGGTGTAGGCAGCTGGGAAGTGACATCAGCCTCATACACGTAACAGCACACGAGGTCAAGTTGGTCACATTAAAGTCCTTCCTGACTACCGAGTTTGTTGGAAGCTCGTTCGTCATTATATTAAACTAAAAGAAACTTAAACTTTTACAGGGTCACATTAGGGTCATTCAGTAAAAATATGGTATCGATTCAAATCTCATAAAGTACACTAGTATAACTAGAGTAGAAATCCACATGACAAAATTCGTAGAATCTAAAATAACCCTATCAAGGTTAATGTAAACTAGACAAAGAGAAACTAATCCGAAAACAATGAGTTTAGTTGAAAGAATTAAATTATGAGTAGGCTATCATTTGGCTTTTATAACTATGTATTATAATAGTGAATTATGATAGTGATATAAACTAGGAAATTTACGCCTTTGAACATGAATGATATCAATAGTCAGTAATACTGGTGACCTACTTGAATACCTGAGCTACCTTTCCCTGCCTTTTAGATATTTCAACTACCTATCCGCTTTTTATCAGTATATGGTTGTTTTGTTTCCTTAAACACATCATTATGTTTATTAATCGCATAACCTATTCGGGCGCGTTTATGAAAAGTTAGCAACCTTTAACTATACAAGTTACAATCAGAAACATCGTGGTGTGTGGCAGTATACATTGAAAAGAATAAACATTATTCAGATGTCAATTCCTGAATTGTTAACATCTAACTGGTGACCCCTCATTATTTATCGTCGGGATCGATCAAGAAATAAGAAAAAAACTTGCTGGAATAATTTGTGCTGAGAATTTTATATTGTAGCAAAAATGTAATATTGATTAAAACCATTAATAATAATATTAATCGTGGTATAAAATTATTTTTCAGTTTGCTGGAGCGTACTATATATAACTTATGAAATATAATGGTTTTTGGATTATAAGAAAACTAAAGACTACCAAAGTATAGGGAATAAAAATAAATTTTTTCACTGCCATTAAAAATCATCGGAATTGTATGTTGCTTTTTAATTCAATTTGAAATTTGAATCGAATTAATGGTCTAGCGGTTTCATTTAAACCATTTTATCAAGAATGTTTTCAGATTTTTGAATGTAAAGTTGCTTTTCTTTAAAGTTTCAAACAAACATTGAAAAATAATGGTTTGAAATAACACTGACCATGAACGCGAATAAACCATTGTGACGTATTTCATTCTATATCATGCAAAACTTTCAACCAATGATGAGGACTACCGCACTGATTGAAATTAAAAATTATGAATCTTCTTACATAGATTTGATTAAAAGTCAATAGCTTCATAAACTGAACCCATATCATAATACTCACTAAATGATTTGTAGACGAATATTTTACATACATCAAAAGTGAATCAAGTTATTGGAAACTAGATAAGCTTACTGCATTCTTACCATAAGTTCATGAAAACAGCAACCTACTGGAGCTAATGAAATTTTTAAGGCAATTTTAACTATTGTACAACTGTCCGCCAATGTACAAAATAGTCATTTGTTATACAATTTTATGACCAGTTCTATGTACATTCATCTATGGTACTAATGAATAATGATTAATTCTTTTATTTTCATCTATTTATGTTAAACTTTTCTTTGTTATTTTCAAGTTGTTTTTCTTTAATTCAAAAAGGATTTTTTCGTGTTCTAATTAGCTCATATTTACCTATGTACTAACACATTTAATAATGATCAGTTTTCAATACAAAAACGAATAACTATAATACAATAAAGTATTTATCTAGTATTATACTTTCTTTATGTCTAAAACTATATAACCAATATCAGTCTTTTACCAAACTATCAAAATAATTTTAGTTTAATTCATGATAATGAATGTAACAAATAAAAGATTTTAATAATCATTCTAGTTTATTAGAAGGGGTTTTGTGAAGATTTTAATAGTTTAAATAGTTGAAATCATGAGTCATTTGAAACTAGACCATCATGGAAGACCTGAAAGCACTAGACAGTCGTTTCGTCTTAGTATAGGACTCCTCAACAGTGCACAGTCACGATCCCGCCCCCCCCCTAGATTCGAACTCAGGACCTTCCAGGTTTTCCATAGTAGTCTAGCTTCATTTGACTCATGAATTCAACTATTAAAATTACTAAAAATCTCCACAAAACCCTTTCTAATAATAATCACCTACTCACTAGTGACTGACTTCAAGAGGTATTTCCTGGAGTTCTAGTGTGAAGCCGTGACAAGTAGAGTTCAACCAGGTCTGTCGTGAGATATTAGCTCACTGAAGACAATAGTGTACGGTGGCGCATTCTAGTTTAATCTTATAGTTCTAAAATCAATATCAATTAGGTTTGCTTTGTTTGTTTATTTTGTTTGTTGTTGAAAAAACCCATTAGGAATCCTCTAATACCAAAAAACCTTTAATCTGTTCTTTTTTTGTTTAATTATTTTACTAAAATGTATCATAAATAATTAAATATATCTTAGTGATACATTTTAAAATATTCAAAAAACCCAGAAAATTATATTTTTTCACTTGTTTTTCTTTTTACGTCATTGAATTGAAAAAAAATTTTTTTTGGACAATACTGTAATTTAATATGAAATCCTTAAATGAAATTTATTCAAATATTCTTTTTTAAGAAAATAAAATGAAAGTGAAACAATGAAAACAAAAATTAAAAATTAAAATATAGAAATGAAAAAAACGGTATAAAAAGTTGACTATCGATTATTCTTTACATCATTTAGTGCTATCTAGACACTATAGTGTCAATGAATGTAATCTGATTATTAAACTAGATAATAGGATATCACAATCTTGTATATTTGAAGATTAAAACAAAAATGATAAGAGGCTTTTTTAAAAAAAGGTAATAAATGATTTAAAAGAATAAAAAGTAATGAAATGACAACCATTCGAAAGAAACTAATGAAATAGATATATTGATGTGTTAATTTTGAGAAATTCTCAAAAGTCAATTATATTATAACAAGATATTAACATTCAGGATAAAATATATTCATGGATTGGTTGAAGTTAGACATTAACACCATTGGATGCCAGCCGGCTAAGTGGTCTAGTTGGTAAAGCGCCTGGCGCGAGACTGATAGATCCTGGGTCCGAATCTCGCGGGATGCGGGATCGTGGATGCGCACTGTTGAGGAGTCCCACACTAGAGCGAAACGGCCGTCCAGTGCTTCTAGGTTTTCCATGGTGTTCTAGCTTCAATTGACTCATGATTTCAATCTGTGAAATTTCTAAAATCTCCACAAACCCCTTTTGATAATAAAACATATAACCTAAACTAACTTTTCTACATGTAAACGTAGTTTTAAAACCTATTTCATGATGTATCTTAAAGATATAGATTAACTGTTATATATCAATTTGTTTTGATTGTTAATGATAGTTGTTTCAGATTCCATTATTTTACTTCGTTTTGACTATTTAGCCATTCTTACTTAGTAACATTCTATTTTTGATGTGTTCAAAGTTAAACAACAATTATTTAACTATAAAATTATGTAAATTTGTTTAAAATGTGATTATATTGTTTTCTGAAAAGAATGTACTTTACATTTCAAAAACCAATAGTCATTTAATTATTATTTATTATTTTCTGTCACTTTCTAAGTTAGATCTCTATTCTTATTTCCTAAAATTGATCACTAACTACAGTTGGTACCATAAGTATCATATAAAAACTATATTATACATTATATTTACTTATTAATAAATAGTTACAACAGCTTACCGTCGTCATTGTCAGTATTACTGTTGATAGAGTAATGATTAATGTTATTATTGTCAATGTCATCTGATAAAGCTTTATATGCGATATTTTGCAAAGCATGATAAGCTGTATCGTTGATGGTGGATATTCCAATATGAGGTGGAGACAATAAAGAAGAAGAATCCTGGAAATGCATAGAAAAAAGGAAAATTTAAAGTGAACATTTATAAGTATTGAAGTAACCATTTAAAGTATAGAACAGTAAAAGTTTTGTAACTATAAAATTATAAAATCATCATATAGTTGGCTGGGTAATATTTCTTTTTAATTTTTGATGGTAAAAATCATAACTTGAACAAAATATATGATTATTTACCATAAAGACAGATATATACCACTAATTATAGTGCATAATCCAAATTCTTAATACAATAAAACAATCAGTTGTCTCTAATGGTAAAATGTTTGTGTTTGTACACATAACTCACTGATTAAATTCAAAAATAAGTTAGAATTAACTATTACGTAATAATTTCATAGCAAGATAGAAAATACTTCAACATTACGTTCTCTACAACATTTATTGAAGTACATTTTTCTGTTTAGATATTATAATGATGAGATAAATTAAATTAAATTTTCATGATTTCATTATGAAGAGGTCATACCACGTAACTTGAATATATTTTATATTACATATAACTAACAATATATAGCCACTAAATGTGGTAAATTTTAAAACGTTATTAATCACTTATGAAGTGTAACGCTCTAAATAGTGTTAAATAAAACTTGTCACATACAATATTGGTCTCGGAATTAAAAAAAACGTCACGCTAATTATAATAGTTGAGATCATGAATCAATTGAAGATAGAACACCATGGAAAACCTGGAAGCACTGGACGGCCGTTTCGCCCTATTACGGGACTCCTCAACAGTGCGCATCCACGATCCCGCCCTCCACGGGATTCGAACCCAGAACCTATCAGTCTCACGCGCGAACACTTAACCTCTAGATCATTGAGAAAGCATCCATTGATGTTAATGTCTAACTTCAACTAATCCATGAAATTGGGAGACACATCCACCATTGTCTTCAGTGAATTACTATATCACAACAGACCCGGTTGAACTTCACTGGTCACTGCTCCTCATTAGAACCCCAGGAAATATCTCCTGAAGTCAATAAGTGCTTCCAGGTTTTCAATGCTGGTTTAGCTTCAATTGACTCACCATCTAAACTATTGACATTACCATAGTATCCAAAAATACCCCCTTTGATATAAAATAATTTCTTAATTTTGTTTTAATTCCTAGCTACATTCAGTCTAAGTTAATTATGACTGGTCGTTTATTATTTCTTATGTTAAAAAAATAAATTTTGACAACTGATGTGTATATTGGATTGCTTTTTCAACAAATAGGTATAGTAAGTAAAATGATGCATGTAAACATATGAGAACAGTATCAGTATAAGATTAATGTAAGAAAATGATTTACTTAATATAGGTTAAGTTAGTAACGTACAAAATTCCTAATGTTATGTAACGAAAGCGTTAACAGAAAAGAAAGTTCTTATTATTTTTTAAAATAAAAATCAACAGAAACAGACAATTTTAAAAGCCTTCAATCGTGCAACACACTGGAATGCCGAAATTCTGTAGTGTGTAGTACAAAAAGTGTAAGGGACAGTGGTAAGAGTTTTAAAAATGAGTGTTCAAGATATTCAACAGCGTAGAGTGCTAAGTATTTGTAATGTCTGTTGCTACGTCAAGCCCACATAGCTTATTCTAGCTTCCAGACAAACAAATTTACTCATTTTTCTTCAGCCACATTTTGACCTTCTTGATTATTCGCTTCGCCTTTGTCTTGTCTCGCCTCGCTCTTGCCTTAACTTGCTTCGCGTTGATTTGATTCGGTTATAAATATTGAGAAACGCTTAATTAAAGTGAGTTGGCTAAGACGCCTTCTCCAGTCCGTTTCGCTTCGCTCTCTCCTCTTTTCTTCGTTTCTCCAATCGTTTGTTCTGATAAACGATTGTACAAAACATACGTATTCAAAATTTTATTCTCGTACTTGACTTATTTAATTCCGCTATTCACTAACGCCAGTTAGGTCGACAATTATATGCGAGGACTGAGGATGTGTATATTTTGAAAGCATTCAGAAACGATCTATTTAGAGTCAAATAAAGGGCCACTAAATACTCACTTATTTCTACGTATAAAAAAACAATAATGCTGCATGTTTAGTAAAAAGTAAAACCAGTGCTATTCTTTTCCCCCAAGTGCTTTTCTTGGTGTTTTATGAAATAAGAATCATTGTCTAAACACATTATTTATATGACGTGAATCTAACATAGACTTACAATAACAAACTCTTAAGTAGATTTGAAAGAGATAAGATTATTTACATGATCGCTTCAGGGATGTGAATAAACTATGGTGTTATTCAACCTTGTAAAAGTGAATTTAACACTAAAAATTTGGAATCTAAACAGGAAAAAACACGTATTCATAGTTCCCTATGCTAATCAAGGTCCAACTCTACAAACACACATTTATTGTTATAAGTATTTAGATCAAATACATTAGGGGTTTATTGTCAGGAAATAATAGAAATTGATCTAAAATTTTAAGTCTACGCATTGCAATTCAGTTCCCATAGATTAATTACTAGGATCTGTTGTTGTATAAATTATATCATAATTTACATCACGGTCAAATCGTAGTTGGGTAACCATTGAAGACCGGGAAGTGGGGAATAAAACACCAGCCCAGTCCAGTTCGATGGTCGATCAACTAAGAGCATTCCGTACTGTAGACTGCAAAACTACGACGATAACCGCAAGTCCCCTATACTAGTAAACTACATAAGTTCAAAAAACCTTTTTCAATGTTATTTGCAAACTGAAAAATTAACAATTACATATTCTTACATGTTTTGAGTTGAAAATATAAAATCTTTGTTCGTTCTCAAGAATGATGCAAAATTTTTTCATCCAAACGGGACTAGGAAGATTGTAAGCAAAGTACTTCCATTCAGAGTAACAGTTCTCAATTGAGTCAACATCTGTTAGAAAGTTTCAAAATCATATTTATTAATGACATTACCCCAAACGTCTAGCCACGATTCAAGACGTATAGGAAAATCCTTAAGATACGACATATCTATGAAAATCGGATTGATTTAGAAACTTCTGCACTTTTCGATAGCCTTGTCTTCAGTTCTTTATAAGAATTGAAGCATAATATACATACACAAAAAATCTGAAAGAGAAAGGCAATGTGTAAAATTGATCCTTTACATGTGAACTAAGGAATCATAGGAGAAGAACTTAAGATTTTTGTCACACATTTCCTGACATAAAAGACGAACTTACATATCAGTAAATGAAATGTATGTACTTACTCACTGTTCTACACTAGTGTGATTATGACAATAAAATTACAGCTCTGTGAAATATCACTTTTTGAATTGATTTACAATGAATCGAACATAGGTAAAAATCTGATTAAATATGACAAACAAGTTATTAACATTAACAATCTTCCAGAGAAATTACAGATTCAAAAGTTTTTATTTTTCAAAGAGTACCTTGCTTACACTGTGATAAAAAGTGTCGTTTTAAGTAGAGAGCTATAAAATTAAAGTGTTTTATGGTGTTTCATCGTTCCATACAGACCTTAGAATTTACTGACAGCAGGTTATGGAATTGACCACTTTCCAAAATTTAAGCAAAGCAGTTACAATGCATTTTGTCAGTTATTTACAGTCTAGTAGAATGAAAGTGGTCCAAGATCCTAATATAACTAGCCATCTGCTAAATAATGTGTCCATCAGAGAACAGTAAACTGCACAACTTAAAACTTTGCAAGTTGAGGTCTCGAATTGAGGTAGGATATCTTCAAGTAACTGAAGAACTTAAACTTATCATTCAATATAACGAAGATTCATTGAGAAAACAGAAAAAGCTACATATCAATTAAAACTACTGAACTATAATTGTGACAGAATGAAAAGCAAGACATTAGGCTAATCATAACGTCAATTTTAGGTTCAGAATACATGACTGATATTGTCCCTACAAATCTCAGCAAGGCAGAAATAAATTCTTTACCAATCACTTTGAATACAAAAATTATGTCTAATTTGGATTTTGTTTGTTTTGAGTTGCAGTTAGACTTATATTAGCCAATATGATGAAAGATAATTGTCTTCTGTCAAAAATTATGTATACTTGACATTATTTTCTTTTAATCATAAGGTACATAATTATTAATCAAGTATCCATCTAGCTGTCATTTGCTTAAAATTAAACAAACTAAATGATACCGAATTCTTATTAAAAACACTCAGAGTAGACATACCCGTTTGTTATCAGTAACAAATGGCTCAGTGTTTCTGTCAAGATTGTTGCAGATAACTGTTATGTAAATGACTCAAAAACTGAGAAAAAGGCACCTATTTCTAAAGTGTCGTTTTTCAGTCGTAACAGAGTGAACTTTCATTTATATCATCAATACCGTACAAATACTTTATAGTTAAAATCCTATAGGAATGTGATAAACAGATGTGCTGAAGGTTTTAATGGTATTTTGTCGAACATTGTTAATCGTATTTTGAATTAGACATGGTTAGTAAGCTGTACAAATAATATCCAACTTTTGCGAAATGCAGCTGAAATTTTAAAGTAAGATGTGTTAAAAAGCTTTTCACTTAATATATCAACAAACAACTTTCATCAACTAATGTAAAACAGTGTTGTGTAAGCTAAAATGTAATCAGATTCTAGTGACCATTCGGACTTGTAAGTCTTTGGTTCAATAAACAATTTGAAGAAAGTTAATAATACTATAATGCAGTGTCGGGCTATGGACATAAATGATAACGTTGTGCCTTGTTCGCCTTAGTCTGGTAAGGCTCTAAGGAAAAGCCAGCAACAAAAGTTGTTGAATGAAGGCTGACTCAGTAATTTATTTTCTCAAAAAAAACTTCAAATGTTCGCTGGAAAATAAATATATCAGCTTTGCAAAAAGTCAGTTTATTTTCAACATACAAATGCTTTAAAATATCTACCACCAAACTGCTGAAAGTAGATAGAATTTCGGTTTTATTCTCATTGACTAAACCTGATAACATGAGGTGATAACTGATAAAACCCAGCAAATACTTACGTCTAATTACAAAAAGCCTCAGAATGTGTTATCTCAGATGAGAATAACTTGACCCCAACACAAAAACTTTCGAAGTGAACTCGCTACAAATCACGGTTTTGAAAGCAAACTTGACCCACAGTGAGAAATAACGCTTCAAGAGTTAACCATCCAGAGTAAAAACGTACTTGAGTATGCAACATTCCATTTTACTTCAAGGATAAGCCGGACTCTGTCCACAGGAAACGCAAACATAAGGACGAAAGCATTTGAGTGCTGCTTTTAGTTGAAATATTTTTGTGGTACACCTTACGGATATATTTTGAAGTTCTATTGCCGTTTTATCAAAAAGAGAGGGAAAATAGAAAGGTTGATACTCAAAAATCTCTACTATGAACAAATTATATGCGTAATATGACACAACCTGTAGATAGTGCGACAAGATACTGACAATGTCATTATATATAACTTGTCAAAATAGGCGAAATACTTAAACATCCTAATTTTTGTTGTGACATATTTTAAAAGTTTATTGCCTACTAACAACGCGCTTGAAGCTCATAATTGTATTTAAGACATAATTACACGGAAATAAAAACGGAAATATTCAGTTACAGAAATAATTTCAGCATAAACACGGTTTCCACAACCAAATGTCGCTCCATATTATATGACTCAGTTACCGTGATACCTGGACCACTAAACAACCCCTTCAAGGTCACCAAAATTGAGGTTATGACAGTTAAAACTACAAACTTTAAGTTTATGATGGTGCATTTTCTCCTTTCATCATTTGTTCCACCAAAACATTCATGAAACACATGACTGTCATTTTGTACATCATGACTGAATTCAAGATTATCAAAATCAAAAAGCTCTACAATTATGTACTCTGGAACACTAAATACCACTAATTTTTATTAGATTTGGTCTGTTTCACAAATAAAGTCAACGAGCTCAGAGTTAAAATTTTTCAAGTCAATATTTCTCATTATTATCATAACTCTACGGATTTGTTTTTCAATTTATATGACACGAACTTTCTGAGATAAACATGTAGTTGATTTACGAGAATTCGTTTTCAAGCTGAAACGCAAATAAGCTGATCGTTTAACTATTTGCGTTCACTCCACTAGCGTACATATACCATGGTAAATGCCACTAGAAAATTAACAGAAAAAACGAACACCACAAAATCTAAAACTAAATCACTTACCTAATTTCTTTCTATTCGCTTCCTCTTTTACCTGTTACCTTCAGGATTCTACATCAGAGTTTACATTTTGATGATTTCAACAATGTACGTCCTACCTACAAGCAGTATTTTTCCCCTTAATTTCCTCTTTAAATGGAAGCTGGTTCGTTCTCTGTCATAGTAGGTTGTTGCTGATGTTATCTGACTGACGGACATTGAATATTTTGCATAGACAACTTTTTATAGGTACTTGCACCTTTTTGACCATGATTGTATTAGTTTTCCAAGTTTCAGCTCAGTACAGTAGAACGGTTTTTACGTTCGTATGGAAGATTCTGACTTTGGTGTCGACTGACAGTTTTTTTAGTTCTCTATTTTCTTCAGTTGTTGGAATTCTATCTTGACTTTGAAAATTCTTGCCTTCGAGTGTGGAAATTTTGTTTGTGGCTCTGTTTGTTAGAGAAGGACATTGTCCTCATGACTTTCAATCAATACTGGCTTTCACCATGAGGTGTCAGAAGTCTTCTAAATAAAGATCTTTCAACTGGCATATCAGAAGTTAAATGATTTAAATTACTTACTCTGCTCAGCCCTTTTAGCTAGTCTGTCTTCTACAAGACAAGGCTGTTAATACCATGCTCAACCATCCTCCTTTATTCGGTCTTGAGTCCAGTACAAATCCTGAAAGAGCTGCAGGTACAATTGAGAATAAATAGCATGGAGTGAATTCCAACCACGATTTCTAAAACAAATACTGTTAACAACAAGGTTTGCATGGAAAGACCGGTCACAACCAAGGATTTGTGCCAAACTTTTAAAGCCTCCACATAGAGCAAACAAAATAACTAATTTCGGCCTCCTTAAATTGAATAAATTAAATACCCGTTTGAACTACAAGTACATAGAAACATTTAGGAATAGAAGAAATGACTTCGAATCGCTGATATTGAGCCACATAAACAACTGACGAAGCGAATACGATTAGGGAAACCTAAATATCAAGTTCATAAAAGTCCTCAGGCGTACAAGGTCTTCTGAAAACACGACAATCAGGTAAGTCCACAACCGTGTAGATATAATGTGACTGACTAATTTCTCAGGCTCATATTTTTGTCAGCAGTCCGAATTTGTTCCTCTGATTTCAAAGGAAATGATGTTACTGTTTGAAGAAACAAAGTTTGGAAAAATATTTAAAAATATGCTATTGTTTGCACTGCATCTGGTGATACCTCGTGGTTGTTTATTTGGTTTTATTACTTATCGCAGCAATCTGCACAGTTGTTTATAAATACATTCTTCATTAGGTCAGTGATTTCTATTATACGTTGGGCGGTATTTGGAGTATTGAAAGTAAACAGCTTAGTCTGGTTTCACACACATTGATCCATTCTCTATTTTTCCCTTTAACTTCACAATCAAGATGATCTCAAAAAGAGATAAATTGACTCATTTCACTCTGTCAGCCTAAGAAGAAAGTGTTGCGAGCGTAATGGTCCCTATTATTCAGCCAGACCTAAACCGACCAATCAGCCAGTTGGTGGATATCACTGTCGGTTAAGATCCCCAAAAAAGTAATAAATTCTCCTAAGCTTTGCTATTCAACATCACTTACAGTTATTAAAGCATCATTCCTCCTAATTAGTAAGTTTAATGTCATTGGATTTGATTATAACACTTTTCTGTGTCAAATATCGTCTATGTATATCGAATCAAAAGAAACTCTAAATTTGATGGTGATAATATTGGTTCTTGTAACTAAAACACTAGACATGTGAGTTGTAGTAGTGTTACCAATCATTAAATATTTAGCAAGAAAAACAGCGGCATCGAGATTATTAAAGCAACCGGATGGTGTAAAGATTAATACTGATAATTTCAAAAGCCATTTCGCAGAGCTAATCACTACTAACCCATTTGTGTGGTGGGTACATACACCTGGATGGTAATAACACTGAAACGAATATAACTATGATTGCTATCACTGAGTCAGTGGAAACAATAATAGTAATAGAGTCTCCGAATATTTTAGAGCACTGTTGAGTAGCACATATTAAACTTACAACATGAGTCATAATATTTTAAATTGGAAGAAATAGAAAACACAAATATATCATTATACCGTCGTTAATTATCGTGTTAAGTGGAAGACTTTGCATGTCGTTGATAGTGAATTGGGAAAAAGTGATTACTGTTTGTCTTGTATGACACATTTTTTATTACAACTGATCTTGAGAACCGAAAAATTGCCTAATTCTGAACGAGAAACCTGACTTCCAATTAAGTATTTCCATAAGCTATACTAGCATATCGTTTGAACTCGTAATAATTGTCGTGTGAGTGTTAACATATCAATAAATAACTGTGATGAGATTGGGAATAGGGTATAAATTATGAACGCCAAACGCTGAAAGTTCGTGAATGAACAACAGTTTACGCTTCCATGAATGGATAATAATTCGAGAAGAACAGGTAAAAAATATTTATGCTTGAGTGATATTTGAAAACATTAATGTCTCTGTGCATGCAGTATTTTGAATCAGATTTTGTGCCTGGGAAGTGTATGGTTAGGTTTATTTTGCGCAATGTCAGTAGCAAATGTTTTGTAAGTATACAATCATCGAAATTATCGTTTTAATTTATAAATTTCATCTCGTAATATCAACGTGAAAGTTTTAATCTTTGGGGAATGAAAAATTAAAGTGTTCTAATTCGTTAGTGTTTAACATATGCCACGCAGTGTTTCGTAAAGTAACTTAATCAGTTTATTGGTGAAACGTGGTACATTTCAAATTTTTTATCAATCGCAACATAAATCATTTTTCAATAGTTGAGATCATGAGTCAATTGAAGCTAGACCACCATTGAAAACCTGGAAGTGCTGGACAGCCGTTTCGTCCTATTGCGGGACTCCTCATCAGTGCGCATACGTGATCCCGCCTCACGAGATTTGAGCTCAGGACCTAAAAGCACTTAACCAATAGACTACTAAGCCGGCATCCAACGGTGTCAATGTCTAACTTCAACTAATCCACGAAATTAACGATACATCCACCGTCATTTTTAAAGTGGCTTCATTCATGTATTACACACTAATAAAAACGGATATAAAGAAATGTTATATACATATTTGTAACGAGTGAATATTTCGACATCAAATTTAAAATGGCTGAACGTCTCAACAACAACCATTTTCGACAGATAAATAAAACGCAGATTGCATTAAACGTTAATAACAGACTTAGATCTGAAATATTGAATTTCTGGTCTACTAGACTGTTAAATGAGTACGAGGTCATTTGTATTTTTCTGCACTGAAGTTCCATCTCGATATGATCACAAAAGCTTTTACTTCACGGTTGAATAGTCTAACAAATGTTAAAAATCCTCTTTTAAGATTTATATGCACTAGTACTAAACATATCAGTGTTCTTCACTTGATATAGACACTGATGAAACATAAAAAGGTATTACAAATATTTGATCTATGATCGAATTATGATTATTATTCTCAAGTTTTTATGTAGCTTATTCACTGCGGCTTCATTCGCCATGGATTGTTAGTTCAGTTGACATTACCCATGAAAACACATCTGTTGTAATAGTGAGCTGACCTCACTCTCTGATTTTCAACATATAGTGAACTAATGTAAAATTTGTGGTAAATTGTAGTTTCGGTTATTATTTTAGACCCATATACCTTATTCTAGCTTTCGGACAGGCGAATCTACTCATTCTAATTAGGTCATGTTCTGACCTTGGTCATTATTCCCATATAAAATTTGGCTGTTTTTATATGAGCGTATGTGTGTACAGTTGTTATCCCGTTATTCATCATATGTCTGTAACCTATTTTTGTGTGACTATAAATAATGATTACCGCTTGACTGAATTGAAATGGCTGACATTCCTTCCCCACTGCACGTCATTTTCATTCCCTCTCTATTGTTATTATAAACTAGACAGTTCGCTAATATACGAAGCATACTCAAGACCCTATAAGACCTGAAAAAAGTAATAATACAAAAAAACGAAAGGGGCTCTAATAGCTTCGATAATAAAAGGAAGACAGCCAATTGTATATCACAATACTGTTTCTAGCACTATATTTTATTTTATAATCACACATAATCCCATACTCTCAGCTCCTTTTTGAATCGCCTCCATTTGTCAGTTGTATGTCCACTCACACCTTGTCAACACTTATTTTCTTTAACCTATTAGAATGCTCTTTCTTAACAAATACCTTAATAAAAGAAAATTAGATTGAGTAATCACACTTTAAACATTCCTTCATGAATATTGGCTACTCTGCCCCTCGTGTTTTCTTTTACTTGCTCCCTCTTTCAGCCCCCTTGTGATATGGACCGAAAGACTTTATCCTGCACCATCCTCAAAGCCTTAGACATTCCAAAGGGACATAAAGTTGAGGTTTCTAGAAGCTCCCGTCTTCAGTGGATCTATCCTTGACCATCAGTTG